GGGAGGGGAGGCAGAGGAAGTAGGGGAGGGCATGCTCTGCACACCGTCCTCCCGCGTCCTGGCAGGGGCGTCGGCCCCTTTTGTAGACGTGGAAACAGACTCAGAGGTGCAGTCACTTGTGGAAAGTGGACTCTGCCAGGAGAGGTCTACAGAAGTCTGAGAGCCCCCAGAGTGTTGCTGATGTGTGTCTTTTTATTAATCCTCACCTGAGGACATTTTCCATTGCTTTTCAGAGAGAGTAGAAGGGGGAGAGAGAGACATCGATGTGAGAGAGACATCGATTGGGTGCTGCCACATGCACCCGACTGGGGCCGGGATGGAGCCTGCAACTGAGGGACGTGCCCTTGGCTGGAATCAAACCCAGGACCCTTCAGTCCTTTAGAGCCAATGCTCTAACCACTGAGCCAAACCAGCCAGGGCTGTCTTTTTTTTTTTAATCCTCACCTGAGGATATGTTTTTATTAATTTTAGAGAGAGGAGAAGAGCAAAGGAGAGAAAGAGAAACATCAATGTAAGAGAGAAACATCAACTGATTGCCTCCTGTCCGTGCCCTGACCGAGGAGCGAACCTGCAACCTGCGTATGTGCCCTGACGGGACTCGAGCTCACAGCATTGTGGTGTACGGCACAGCGCTTCAACCAACTGAGCCACCCGGCCAGGGCTTTCTGTATGTCTCTATCTTCCCCAGTCCCAGGGAAGGGCCAGGGTCCTGGCAGGAAAGCGAGGGACTGGTGAGGTTGTCCATGATGACACCTGTGGTGGGAAGGGTGGGCACAAAGCCTGGGGTGCGAGCAAGGGTGACAGTAAGGACAGAACTCATGGGCCCAAGCACAGGGCTGGAGGGTCTTAGACCAGTGCTCCTCCAAATTTAATGTGCATATGAATCACCAGGGAGTTGTTACTGTGCAGTTTCTGATTCAGTGGGTCTGAGGTGAAGCCTGAAATTCTGCATTTCTAATGAGCTTCAGGTAACCTGACTGATGCGGGTCTGAGCCGCCCCCCTTCGAGTTGCCAGATGTTCCGATTGCAGTCCACGTACACCCCGGGGTCCTCTCTGATGGAGATCAGGGCAAGTGTTTCCCAGTCTCCCAGGACAGGCTGAGGCTGCCTTTGGGTAAATAACTGAATTCTGTTTTTCTTGCACTTGGCTTTTGCCCTCTTTTAGATCAGATTCTACCATCACTGTACAAACGGAAAGAGGACCTTTTGTGCACTGAGTAGAATTCTGGACGGAGGAAACAGGCTAAAAGGTGCAACTCCAGGGGTAAGGGGACCTTCCTGGTGCTCTTCAAATTGGGAGGGTGTCGCTAAACTTGGAGGAGGGTTACTCTCGGGCTCGGGAGGTGTCTCTTTCCATTTTAGTCACAAACCAGGAAGCAGAAAGGAGAAGAGGTTGGGTTCATTGCAGGGCAGGTTGTGTTGGGTCCACTCCTAAGCCCCATCCCCATCTGAAATTATGAGTGGGACAGACTGGGGCAGGGGAGGACAGGGCTTGGACCAGATTTTAAAGTGATAAGAGGGCCCTGTGGCTTTAAACCCTCCCTTCTCCTTCCAACTCCCCTCCCCACCCGGGGCCCTCCCCAGGTTTCTGGAGGAGCCGAGAGTTGCGCCTTCTCCCTGCCCTGCCAAGCTGCTCACTGGTTGCTCTGGAGGCTGTGCTTTGCGGTCTCCATGGAAACCATTAGTTGCTAAGCAACTGGAGCATCATCTGTGCTGAGCTCTCGCATCTAATTATCCCATCACAGCGGCTGAGAAGGGTTTGGGGAGCTGAGAGGAGGGGGAGGCCAAGCGCAGGAGCAAGAGGATAACTCTTTTAGCAGAGCAGATCCATTGACTACGCTGAAGTCACTTAAAGCCACAGCACCCTGTTCCCCTGGAGGAGTTCCTCGTGGCTGGGAGTGAGGGAGCTAGAGTCACAAGTGCCTGGTGTCTCCCCCTTGAACCCACTCTCGCTAGGCTGTCTGCCCTCTCCGTTCTCAATGCTAAACTCTCTCAAGTTCTCTCCCCTGCCTCCTTTCTTCTAATTCCCATATTCAAGTTAACAAATATTTATTAAGTATCAGATGTGTCCCTGGAACTGTGCTAGGCACCAGGGATGGAAAGGAAAGATAAGTCTCTGCCCTCAAGGAGCTACTAATCTTCCTATGCTGCCTGGACTAGAAGATTAGATCCTAAAACAGACCTACTCTTTCTGAACTACAGTACCTTTTCCCCCCCCTTGAACTATGGTAGTTTTGCAACCAGAAGATCTCAGATGAGAACCAGGTCTGTCGGATACATTGCTGGTTTTCTTTCCATAATGCCACTCTTCTGCTTCCCAGTGAGCTAGAAAAATGTGTTCGTTTGGCTCCTTGGACATGTCAGCCTCTACAGGAACTACTGTCCTCTTGCTGATGAGTGAGTGATACCATAAGACTTTAGGTAAGTAAGTCACTTTGAACCTCAATTTTTCTCACCTAAAATGGGAAGACTCATTTCTTCCCATTCATTTAGCAACATATGACAGGTGTAAAAATGCTGTAAAATAAAGGTGCAGAAGGAATGCAGGAGGTCATTGTCCTAATTTGTAGGATGGTCTGGGAGAAACCGTGGGGACTGGACCTAGGAGTAAGATGCAGTGCTCACCAGACGTTGGTCTCAGGGGAAGTGGCAGAGCCTCTGTCCTTGACATCTGATGCTAGAAAAGGCTGTGAGAATGAAAAACCTCAGTCATTCAGTTGGAAAAGACCTGGATGCTCCATTTTCTTTCTAATGTTACCCCGAATCTGCTTCCGGCTTTGTAACTTCGGCCAAATTACCTGGTTTACTACTCTGAGCTGCAGTTTCCTCTTTTGTAGAAAGGGTACAAAATCTGTCTCACTGGGATATTGTGTCTGTCACTCAAACTAATTTATTTAAGAGTGTCTAGCACAGTATCTGGTTCAATAAATATTAACTTAAGTAATTAATCTTATCCTTTCCTCTTTGTTAACCCTTAGTGCAGAGAGAGACTCAGAGGCAATTAATGACTTTCCAAGGTTATAGGGTGAGTAGAGAATGAGATGGCGTAGCATTTAGGATTTCTTCTCCAGCTGTGTCATCGATGCAAAGGGAGACGGGTGGGCAGGGAAGGCACGGGTCTGAGGGGAGAGAGACTGCGGTTGGACCAGCTGTCCCTCGTATAGCAAGCACGCCACAGGGATACCAGGCGCACAGTAAACATTTCACTCAGTAAACGTGCTGGTGGAGGGCACAGAGACCACAAGACAATTCCTCTCTGAAGGTGCCGAG